GCTACAACCACTAAGTTTAATTGAAGTTGGTGAGCAAAACAATAAACATATAATATACATGGATTATCATTCAATATTAGTGCCTTTAAACCATTAACTCTTCTTGTATATTATATGCACTATCATATCCTTGAACACATATCCTGTGTATACTCATTGAATGCTTTACAAGTATAAATTCAAGAGATGCCTTAAGCGCAACTACATTAGTTAATGGAACATATTAAATACTTATAAATTTCTCAATAACTTGACCAAACTTATCTGCATATCTCACTGCAACAACTAATAACTCATTCGTAGATACATCACACGACTCATCTACCAAAATTGAGAAGTATGAGTCATCAACATACTCCATGATATAAACTAAAGTTTCAACAGTTGCAATTTGATAAATTTATTTTGAAACTTTCGGTGAAGTTAACTTCAAATTTGAACTAGCATTACCAATGTAAACTTTTTTTACTTTGTCCTTAGACTAACAAGAAACTAAAGTAACTCTAAATGATTTTATTGATTCTCTGATTCATAGGATTCATCATGCCCATCAAAGAATATTCCCTGACATAGAAGAAACACACACAATTGACTGTTATTGTCGGCATGATTTGACATTTTTTTTATCATCCTTGCTAAATCATAAATTAGAAAGAGCATAGTCTTGATACTTCATTAAGTTCCCACGTCTATGTTTTATCTTATTGTGTACACTATTATATTCTTCAACATGGCCTAAAAGTTTATCTTTTCTCTTGTAACTTTTAAACCCTCCATAGACAAATGAATCTCCACCACCTTGCCAAGTAATAATTTATTCTTGGGGCTTAACCATGTAACTATAAAGATAAAATGCGGCAATATTCCAAATGAGTATGATATTCCTCAAACCATTTTGCATTAAAGCTACGTGCTACATTACCAATCAGTGTTTGGGGGAAAGCATGTCATTTCAATTGATGTAACCCTTTTAACAAATAGGTTCGACAAACTTTATCCCTGTCATTCAGATTATTGCTCCAAAGAAATAGCCGAGGCCCAATATTAGCAGGAAGATTGTTGATATCAATCTCCACACGTTATTTTCTCATCAAATATCGATCCATATTTCTACTGATAATGCATTAATTACTTATAGTCACAAAACTTTTTCATATTAAAAAAAATACTCAACATGATAATGTGAGACTCATGCAAATCATCTGCTATAAATGTTTGATTGCCTTAACAAATGCTTCATCATGAAATTAAGATTTTCTTACAAACAAATAAAAATAGAAAGCATATTGAATTAATATTCTTTAATTGAGGCGAGTCAAATCAAACTAAATTTTATATGCCAACTATTAAATCAATAATTAAGCCCAGCGTTATCAATTAATTTTTTCTCGTGTATCAATTTGGTTTCAATTTGAAGACTTGGTTCAATTTGGCTAAAAATATGTGAGAAATTTTGAACTACTTTTAGCTCCTGGCAATACATATATTGCTTTATCTTTCTGTCTATTCCAAATAATTAGAATAAGGCTGATAACGATAATTTCATCAAACATTCCATTCCTATTAGAAAATTTTGTGATGCATAAAAAAGATGCTTCAATAACAAGCTATAATGATGTTCATTGAATTATATTATATTTGTTTTAATTAGAATGCCTACAATATAGTGAATGGAACCTTTAGCTAACTCATATTTCTTGGATTAATGAATTATCAATTGATGTATCTACTATCATGGTGTTTTGTAATATTTCATTTTTATTATATTATGATTTCATTATTACAGAAAGTAATACAGAGATGAACAGTAAATTCGATTGGAAGGGTCATCCGCATTGCAATGATTTTCTTTACTATTTTAGGTATTTTGTCCTCATTTAATGCCCATAGAAAACACAAATATCTAACGGGCATTTGTTCGAACACTTCACATACATGAAACCCGCGCTAAAATAAAATGCATGCATACTCAATACCACCTAGCCATCCAAATGAACAAACTTATAAAATTCAAAGAAAACATATGCATCATAATATGGAACCACGAATAAAAAATATATGTACATATAAAGCAAGGAGGGGAGCAAAACTTGTATACCCGTTGAGACACATACATAACAAAGAATGAACCCACCACCTATATTAACAGTAAAATTGATTGGGAGGGTTCTTTGCTAGGAACACTAGATTCATAAGCTACAATACCCAAAATTTTAAATAGCTGAAATGAAAATTATCCAAAGAGAGGCTGATAAAAAATACTTCTAAACAAGTGTGAGGAGGAGACGGAGCACTGGAGCATCAATGTGATTGCGTGAGGTGAGAAGGAAGCAGTCACAAAGCACGAGAGCAACAACATGAGGGGGAGGCGGAGCGAGTGTGTACTTGATTGGGTCTTGAGTGGAAGAAGTGAGGGAAAGAGTATGTTGTTCACTTCTTCTGCAATTTTGAACAGTACGAAGGGCAGTAGGGCAAATTTAAATTTCATAGGAGGGCAAATTCATGTATTTTCCCTCATGATAAGTACGTTTTTTTATAGGTGGGCAACTGCCCACCCGCACAGCAAGGTGGTTCCACCTAGGACTATTAAAACCGGGTCACGGGTCGGGTTCGGGTCCAACCCGAAATTGACCCGACACTGTTCAACCTGACCCGTTTTTGCAAACGGGTCAGTTTTTTGAACCCGAACCCGACCCGCTTCGGGTCGAGGTCAACCCGAACCTGACCCGATTCGGATATATTTTATTTAAATCTAAATCAAATTAAGGTAAGATTTACTTTAATTAATTTAAAATAAATCAAGATTAATTTAATTTGGGCAATAATGTTTATAATTTTTTGAAATATCATTTACTTATTTAATAAAAATTCATTAAAACCATCCTAAATTAATTAAAAACGGGTCAAACCGGGTTGATTTCGGGTTTATGGGTCAACTCGAACCCGACCCGATTTTGCAAACGGGTCGAAATCCCAAACCCGAACCCGAAATTTTCGGGTCGGGTTTTTTGGTTGGGTCAAATATTGACACCCCTAGTTCAACCACTAGTTGCGAGGTTGCAGGGATGACTTGCATTGTATTTTGTGAGAGCTCTGAAGGTTTGTGGTGATGTAGTAAAATCTTAGCTTTTATTATGCTTTAGGACCAGTTTACCTTTCATGCTCTAGATAGCTCTATTTTACTCTTTAAATAGTTGGCTAATGTAAAAGGGTAGGGATCATTGAATGAAATATTTTAGTCTTTGAAGCCTTAGAGTTTGTCTTCTTCTTCTTCCCTGGATTGGGAGCCAAAAATCCTTATTGCAGGTTGAGTCTTCTGACGATCCACTACATCAGTTGGTATCAGAGCCTGGAGCTTGTGAAGATCGATGGACTGCGGAAGAAGGTCGGCCGTCGATGAAGATCGAAGCTGCAAAATAAGATTGGCGGTCAACGACGATCGACGCCAAGGAAGGTGGGCTGTCGACAATGCTCGAAGCCGGATCGTCTTCTATCAAGCTCAAGCGAAGGATTCACTGGATTGGATCAACATGAACCTTCGGGCAATAAGGAAGATGACAATGTCGTCGGCAACCATACCGAGGTATTCTTCTTCTTCTTCGATCTCCTCGTCTGCTTCACGCAAACACCATCAGTTCTGCCATACTCCCACTGTCGTTGATGACTACGCTCCGCTCAAACTCCCTCTCCGATGGCGTGATCCGCCGCCGGAGTATTCGCAGCTCGAGCTTTCGTTGCGATGGTGACATCCTCCGCTTCAAATCCACTCCAATCCATCTCGCGACCATACTCGCAATCCCGATCCCCTCCATTAAGATTTCGCCACTGCCACTCCGTTCGCACTCCCGCTACTACACCAACTATCGGTCTGACTCAGCTCTCGTGACTCTGATTCCACACAGTTTCGCACACCCCCAGCACACCCAACCCCGCTTTCGCCTTTAGATATTCCCTTCGTTGTCCCTATAATCAGTCCGCCGGATTCCGCCCCCGCTTTCACCTTTCGAGTGTATTCCAGCCTCAACCCGATCCACTCCAGCTCAAGAAGGCCGGATGCAGATAGCGTCCCAGACCTGAACCCTCTCGGCGACATCAAACTCGTCAGATTGGCCCGATAACCTTCGCTCCCACACAACATGCCCACTCTAACAGACGATTCATCTCCTCCCGATCGCACAGTCAACAACTGTCATTCGGCCGTCGTCCATGACTCGTCACTTTCATTCCCTTTACTCCTGTCTTCCGCTCATATCCCTCTCCCGTGTATCCAATCATCAGGTTCTCCCAGCACTCCCACTCCGTCACCCATCTCCTCTAGTGCATATGCACAACCGATTAGATCTATTTCTCCTTCTAGTATCAAAAAATTGGAAGAAGAGATGGAGAAGTTACATGAGCAGAGGGCTGTTGTGACTGAGGAAAGAAGAGCTGCTGATATTACTAATGAGAATGTTGGGTTAGAGGCTGCAGTAAGTGCATCACGTTCTGTTCTAGATAGAGGCTCTAGCTCTGCTTATATAGCTGCAGCGCCAATTGAAGCTCAGGCTTCTCTGACAACTAGCCGAGAAATTTCAAGCTTGCCTGTTCAGTTAGATGAGTATGGCAGGGATGTTAACCGACAAAAGCATATGGATTTTGTTAGGAGGGCTGATGCTAAAAAGAGCATAAAAGTTCAGGCTAAGGCTAAGAGGTTGTCGTTCATTGTAATGGGAGTGGATGAATCTCAACAGATTGAAGGTGAGGTGTCAAGTGATAAAAGTGATAGTGACATTAGTGCTTATCAATCCAGTAGGAATGAGTTGCTCCAAACTGTTGAATAAGTTTTTAGTAATGCAGTTGATAAATATTCCAAACTTTTCGTTGTCAAGGAAAGACTTGAAAGGTCGAAGAAATGCCATCTTCCTAGTTATCAAGATGCATACATATCTTTAAGCACACCATACATATTTTCTCCTTATGTAAGACTAGAGCTTCTGAAGTGGGATCCTTTGTATAAGACAATGGATTTCTTTGACATGGACACTACACGAAACCTGTTTGAACAAATGCCTATTAAGAATACACATTCATACATTGCAATAACCACAACTTATACTCATGATGGATTCACTGATGAAGCAGAGGCCCTGTTCCACCTGATGCGGGATATCTGTAATGGTCGAAATCCTCATCCCAACCGCACTACTATAGCCACCATTGTTTCTGCCTTTGCACAATCCGAGTCTCCCAGCCGAGCGAGATTTCTCCAAGCCTACATTGGCCACCATGGCACTTATTTACTTAATGATCACAACATTGCTGCCCTTATAGACCTTCATTCAAAGTGCAAAAATATCGATAAATCTTATAATCTCTTTTGCATATGGAAGCAAAAGGAATTGGTTTGCTACAGTGCGATGATAGATGGGTGTGGGATTCATAGATGCATTGCGAAAGCAGTCAAACTGTTTGATCAGGAGATTCAGGAAGCCAATTCAAATGAGCATCCGGTAACTGAATTGTACAAAAAAATTGTAATGCCCCAATATCTAATTTGGAAAGAATTTCAGTCAATCCATTAAACCATCAATCATTTACCAGAGCTATCTATAGTCTTCAATCAATAACAAACAATTTAACAAAATTCTATAATTTAAAACATCAATGTACAATTCTTTTCATATCCCAAAAAATCATATACAATACTCAAGTTCTACACAATAAACACATGAAATGAAATCTATCCTGTCCTGAGTACAAAAGAATCACTATAACCCAAAAAGAACAAAAACCTGAGGATCACTGATCAATCTCAATCTCTTGCTCCCATGCCCTGACCTGAAAATATTAATCACATATAATGAGCTTCAAAAAGCCCAACAGGTCACCTAAAACCTACAACTGAAATCAAAGCACGGTGCTGAAACAATATGCATGTTAGTCAATCAAATCCATAACAGTCAGTTGCACATGATCAGTGAATCTATGCAGCATATACAAAAATCAGTAATCAATGCATGATCGATACAATCCACAATCATCAGTAAAAGAATCAATAAACAGTAGGAAGAATTCCATAAAGCTCAATAAATCAGTACATACGTCAAATATCAGAACAATCCATAAACAGTAGGAAAATCTATATTCAGAAGAATCTCAGTTAAATCGATAAGTCAAATCGATAGAGAAAAATCATCGTCTATATCAATTAAATCAACATCGTATCAATGAAATCAATCTAATCAATCATCTCTGGCCAATACTATCAATCAGTATGAAATCATATAAAATAATCAAATCAATACAGTAAAACCTATTCCATATTGATCAATGAATCATATGCAGCAGTTCAATACGGTATATAAATGAATCGATAGTATCAATGAATCAATACAATATCAGTATCTATGTACAGTAACACGTGCAATATGCAGTATCAATGAACCGATAATAACAGTAAACCCGTAAATCCATTCGTCAAGAAATCAATCCAATACATTAAATCCGTCGATATCAATAAATATATAAATCCATTCATCAGTAAATCCATTCAAAATTAATAAATCAATAATCAATACAAGAAGTCTGACGATATCAATAAATCTATAAATCCATTCAAAATCAATAAAATTAATAAATACATCAGTATAAATAAATGCATACAATAATCAATAAATCTATAATGAGATCATAAGAACAATACTTACACAAGCCATGCAATACCATAGTCTTACTCGACAAGTACAATCACTGGCTATTAAGGCTTTTTTCAATGTCGATAATCCATTGTGCTATTGTAGAAATCCATAAATATATCCATATCCATATTCGTTGGCTCAATAAGAGTCGTCACTCTGTGCCCGTCGGCTGAAGAATCTCCAACCAACGGTCCAACCAGTTTGCACTTGTCTTTTAGTAACGATAACAATAATTCAATCATATTATCACATTCGTATGCATATTCAATCATTCAAATCATCAATTCGAAAAATCAGAGGTCGTACGAGAAATCGACGGCATAACGGCAATACACGGAATGTACACAAAAATCACAGATTCAAAAATTTACCAAATTACCACAGATCATGGAAAACAACAATATAAGACTTTTATCGTACAGAAGCAACATTTTTCAACATCCTGATAATTTTCTATTTGATAAAAATCGCACAGAACTCAAAATAACCGGTATAAACATTACAGAAAATACTCAAATCGTGTAAAAATATCATATCAGAAACATATCAAAAGTTGTGCAGTAAAATTTTCGTCAATACAAAATTATGCGCGTTATTCGGTAACAAAAACACAAAACTGAGCACAGAATTATCAAAACTCAAAGTCTTCGAAATCAGAAATAGGATTCAGAGTCCTTACTTCGAGACAAACAAATATTCCAACTTCGTCTTCGGACGAAAAGCATTCCGCGGCATCCGAAATCAAGCCTCTTCTTTCTTTTTCCTTCTCTTTCTATCTCCTGCCTTTTTCTCTCTCTTCAAAAACGATTCAAAATATCTCAAATCGAATATTTATCAAGCAGGATCGTCCCAGACGATTCCCATTCGTCCCGGGACGAACTCCTCTAGACTCAAAATGTCCAGACGAAATTAATTCCAATTTTCTTCGTCCCTGAACGAAACTCTCGGGTTCAATTCGTTCCGACGGTTCGTCCAGACGATCCAGGCAGATTTCTTCACAAATTTCTTCAGTTCGTCCGGGACTAAGGCCAGTTCGTCCAGACTAACAACACTAATAAATCAGCTTTTAAAGGTTTTACAATCTACCCACCTTAAGAAAAATGTCGTCCTCGACATTTCCCTTAAGGGTTCGAATGCAAAATCAATACAAAATAAATCCATCCAATCAAAACTCAAATCAAAATCAAATCAAATTAGAATCGAAATCAAAACTCGTTGGAATCCATACAACATCCAATTTATTCAATCACATGTCGCTATGCATGATCATATGTCAATCAATCAAATAGTCAAATAAGATAATCTTACATGTAGAACTTTCAGGCCATCGTTGATCTTCATAATGCTATAAACTGTATACACGTGGCACCACTGGAGTAGGTGCAGTAGGTCATGGTGCAACAGTCTCCCTCTGACTATCATTGACAGGTCTATCATTTGTCCTGTTCGTTGATCTTTCACTATATGCTATTGATCCAACAATCCTCTGTCCTACGGTACGTCCAGGTCCAAACTGTCCTGTACCAGAATAAGTTCTTCCTCCAAATCCTTTTTGAGGACAAATTGCTGCTCTATGTCCTTGCTGTCCACAGTGAAAACATTATCCCGTCAATAAGTAACACCGACCTCCATGTCGTCGACCACAATGAATGCACTCACTATCGCTACCAGAAGATGCTACTGATGCAGATCCCCTTGAATCACCATACTTTCTTCTCTTATATCTATCCCTTTCTCTACTTGGTTCATCTCTACTCCTCCTGGTGACTTCATATCTCGATGCTGGCGTTGCCAAATCAATCTCTATCAGTCTGGCCCGCTCTACCAACTCAGAAAACTCATGAATCGGTAAGGGTACTAGCGGATGTCTCAGCTCTCTATTCAATCATTGCATAAATCTATAGCATTTTTCTTCAGCAGTAGGGATCAAATGAGACACGTACCTAGTAAAAGTGTAGTAAACTCGGCTTCGTACTGCATTGTTGTCTTGCGTCCTTGCTCCAACTTAATAAAAGCTTCTTGCATTTTTCGTTGGGCTGATGGAGGTACAAACCACATTCGGAACACTGTAGTGAACTCATCCCAAGTGATCTCAGCATTTGTCTTCCCCTAAAATTTCTCTCTATGCTGTCCAATACACCATCTCTCGGCTTCTCCTTTAAACAAAACACAGCTAAAGGTACCTTTCAATTTTCCGGACACTGCATGCTGTCAAAGATCTTTTTCTATCCTCATTATCCAATCTTTAGCAGCCTAGGGTAGGGGTGTAAACGAGTCGAGTTTAGGCCTTATCGAGCTCATCTCGTTAGTCAAAAAGCAAGCTCAAACTCGAGTCGAGCTGGACAGGCGAGCTCAAGCTCGTGCTTGTTCTGCGGTAAACGAGCTCGAGCTGGCTCGGTTTCAGTTTGGAATTTTCCCGCCTTTATTTTTCATTTGACTCGAAATGAGTCTAGCTTTTTTTTTCCGCCTGAGTAGGTGTCAACGGTCAGCTGTCAAGTTGACAACAACTTTTTTTCCCAAAACAAAAAAGGCTGGCAGCATTGTCTTGGAACTCACATAATATTATAACCTATATTATAATATACTTTATACATTACTTTAATTAAAGCAACCGCAGTTATGCTTATGAAATGTCTGTAAATGCTTATCTGCTTCTTCTTCTTTACTTCCACTCAACTTACTATGTGCATCCCCCATTACATGTGCTATAGCAGTAGCCAACTGCATCATACTTTCTGAAGGTAATGGAGCTGCACTGTGTTGCTCATTTAGCACACTTGACTCTGGATTATCCATTTACCTTTTCACATGCACAGTTTAGAATAAATGATACACACATGCAACTATGTATGCAAAATGATGCACTTGAACTATCCATTATACCCAACTCTCAATCAAATCCTATAGCTCTGATAACAATCAATTCTTCCAATAACACTGCTCTGATACCAAAAATTGTAACGCCCCAATATCTAATTTGGAAAGAATTTCAATCAATCCATTAAAACCATCAATCATTTATCAGAGCTATCTATAGTCTTTAATTAATAGCAAATAATTTAACAAAATTCTATAATTTAAAACATCAATGTACAATTCTATTCAATCCCAAAAAATCATATACAATACTCAGGTTTTACACAATAATCACATGAAATGAAATCTATCATGTCCTGAGTACAAAAAAATCACTATAACCCAAAAAGAACAAAAACCTACGGATCCCTTATCAATCTCAATCTCCAGCTCCCATGCCCTGACCTGAAAATATTAAACACATATAATGAGCTTCAAAAAGCCCAGCAGGTCACCTAAAACCTACAACTGAAATCAAAGCACTGTGTTGAACACAATATGCATGTCAGTCAATCAAATCCATAACAGTCAGTTGCACATGATCAGTGAATCTATGCAGCAGATACAAAAATCAGTAATCAATACATGATCGATACAATCCACAATCATCAGTAAAAGAATCAATACATGATCCAGGCAGATTTCTTCACAATTTTCTTCAGTTCGTCCGGGACTAAGGCCAGTTCGTCCGGACTAAGTCCAGTTCGTCCGGACTAACAACACTAAAAAAAAAAATCAGTTTTTTAAGGGTTTTACAAACATTTCTCTTCTATCTATAGTGGGGCATGGTGTTGACTTCAGGACGGATTGGTTATTTGCCAAGAACTCTTATTCACCAACCCATTGGCAAATTGAAATGCTAGTTCAATTCAAAGATTCCAAAGCTGAACATCCTCACTTGGAGTGGAAAAAGCCTCTTCATTGGCTAATTTTGAAGTCTGCATTCAAAGTCTTCGATACAGGAATTTGTTTGCCATTGTACCTACCTTCTAATAACATGCCTCGACGGAGTCGAGCTTTTTGACACAAGGGAAGAATGATGTATGAACATCTTAGCTTTTATTATGCTTTAGGACTTGTTTACCTTTCATGCTCTAGATAGTTCTATTTTACTCTTTAAATAGCTGGCTAATGTAAAAGGGTAGGGATCATTGAATGAAATATTTTAGTCTTTGAAGCCTTAGAGCTTGTCTTCTTCTTCTTCTTCCCTGGATTGGGAGCCAAAAATTGTTCTTGCAAGTCGAGTCTTCTGACGATCCACTACATCATGTGGCCTATCATGCAAGAAGGGACAAATGGCTCATGATGTTGATAATGACATTGCTTCTAACCATGCTTATGGAGGGACTGAGGACTTGCAAGGCCGATGAATACTTAATGCCATTTTGTGTGCGAGGATGGAGTTCTCACCGTGCAATGTATTTGAATTTTTATTTGGACTGAACACATTCAAAACAATAAAACATAAAAAAATGAACTAGATGAATAACTTAGATTCTTGAATCTTGATTAAATTACTTTGAATTTATTTTTCTTCCCAAATACTTAAAATTCAAAGACATATTTATGCGATTTACACATAAAATAAAAACCCCAATACTTTGCATTCATCATATTTTAATATCAAACACCCATTTAACCAAAAAAAAAAAAAAAAACATATACATTTTATTTTTCACATATACTTGTCCAAACCAAACAACCCTAAATTCACTATTTAAGGCGCTGTGCTTCAATTCAGCGGATCAGATGAGTCGACTGAACCTAAAGTGCTTTTCATCCCGCTCCAAAGTAGTAAAGCCGGAGCTTCGGCGGCGACTGCATCTTAAAGGCTGAGCGGCCCACTCGTCGTCATTAGCCATTTTGATCATCTGGGCCATTCGTTCCCCCTCCAACTCTATCATTTGCTAGCAGCGGAGAGTGAGGAGAGGAGAGGAGAAGACGAAGATATACGGAATAGACGAATAGAGAATAAGCAATGAGCCGCACTCTTCTCTCCCACTTCACCATCCTATCCAACTCCTCTCGTCTCCTCTCCTCGACAATGTTTGTTATTTTTCGAGCAAACCCTAGAACTATCTCTTCTCCCCATTACTCTTCTTTGTTTTGATACGATGCCGCTCATTTTCTGGCTTTATTAGAAGTAGAGGCCGAGGTCGAAGCCAATTACGCGTCTTGAATCGAGTTCTCCCTACACAGCATGTTGCAGCTGCTGGTTTCCGGTGCAATTGTACAGTTTCTGCTCCGGAGAGTGAGGTTTCAGGAAGATCGGCCAGCCTTAAAAAGTGAGTGCGCTTTGTTCATAACTCTTCCATTCAAACTATGGAAGCATGCAAGTCTGAAGAAATTATAAGAATATTAACGATGATAATATTTTTCTACTTTTTTCTACGATGTTATTCATATGCATTATTTATTCTTCTTCTTAGTGACCATATAAGATATCACGAGGTATGCCGAGGGAAATGTGCTTTTCTATTATTTTATTTTTCAAAAACCCCAAACAAAACAGCTTATTTAAGCTGCAAAATTTAGAAATGCTGGAAAATCATGCTATTCATATGCAGGTTCGCACTGTGACTTGACTAAATAAGATCTTATGGATTACCTATAGCTTAGTTTGGGTTTGCTGAAGTAATAAAAGGAGCATGATACATACATATTCAAGGATATTATACCCTCTACAAAGCGTTTAGAAATTGGGGGAGTGACAGCCCTTATATTATACATTATGATATCATTGAATTGGAAACGACAAGGAATAGAAACACAAAGGGAGCTTGGTAGATTGAAATATTTTGGGAATTAAAATTTTAAAGTATTTTGGGAATTAAATTTTCATGCTGAAGGTTTGTTATTTTTAGTTCACAATAACAATATGTAATTGTCCTCTTGAAAGAAATAGTTAAGTTATGTTGCAAACATATAGTTTTACTTTCTAAGCCAAATTAGAAATTAGGGGAAGCAAAAGAAAAACTAATAGTTGATAGGGACATCTATCAGAGGTTGATAGAAAAAACTCTTGTAACTTGCTTATACCTGGCTTGAAATTGCATGTTTAGTAAGTATGATTAATCATTCAAGCTTGATCTAAGATAAAGACAAGTACAAGCTATTTATCACGTGATAACTTACTTCGAAGGTACTACAAGGAAAAAAGAGTTTGCTCAAAAGTAGGTAACTCAGATTGGAAGCCTATATAAATATGTAGGTTCAATAGTAGATAGGAGATCAACATCTGATCATTGCACGTTTCTTAATGGACATTGGTAGAATGGTCGAGTAAAAAGTAAAATGTGGTAGCTGGTTCTAGTGCTAAATCAAAATTCATGGCTATGACAAAAGGAATTTGTGAACAACATGATAATCCTTGAGGTGGGAAGGACATCTTAGATGAGTTAAGAATCAAGTGGCAAGGTCCTATTAGTAATAAATCAAAATGAACATTGTTTATAATCTGTTGCATCGATATGAGCACAATGACACATACACGAAACTATATAGATCCGTGACACGTCAATTATTGAAAATATAAGATACAAGTACGAGGTTGACAAGACATTATACTTTTTAAATCATACATCAAAATTAAGAAAACAATCAAATCACAATATTAAGAATGACAAAAAAAAAAAAGAAAGAAAAGAAAACAACATCATAATTAGCTGAGTAGCTTATAATAAAAAAAATTAAGCATAAAATGTCTGGTATTACATCGAAAACATAAACATAAACTTTCTCGTACAAGATGAATCTTTAACTATTTAGTAAAAAAAAATGATAAGATTAGCTTCTTTAGGGGTTTCTCTTTGGCCTTCAATATCATCATTATTAAATGTCATTGCTTCTAATTTTGGCTCATCAAGATAAAGATTGCAATCTCCAATATTCTCATATCGTCAATGGACTCAAACCCAACTCTAACACCATTCCACATCTTTTTATCGCCTTCTATATAATTTGGAGTCTTCTTGATAGAAGACGATGGCTTGTATGAACATATGCTAAATCATCAGTCTATTGTGGAGTGATTTTGTTTCGATTCATCGATTGAATGAGGGGTACTTGCTCCAATTTCTCTCACAACAAGAGGAGGATGAAACCTGATCAAGAAGTTTTATGACTATTGTTTGAAGTTGTGGTGTTGAAGTTCCATGAATCAACCACCACATATTTGGATCCGTTATCCATCTATCACGCAAAGACTCTGATAACCAAAGAATATAACAAGCTCTATATTAACCATTTTTCTCTCATCCTCATTTGGAATTTTCAAGGTTTAAAATTGCATAAATAAACCTCGAGGCATTTTTCGTCCGTGAGGTGAGGCGTAAGCCTCGAGGTGGTGTGAGGCGTAAAGCCTCACGGACGAAGAATTGCGTAAATGCAAATTTAAGTACTCTAGCAGGTAAATAACATTAATAGTCTATGATACAATAAAAATATCTAAATGAGAAGTGAACTTAGTGGAAAATAATAAAATAGATGCAATATATGCATCTTATAGCATAATTCAAAGTACAAAACTACAAATTGAAGTATATCAAAACTCCCAAAATACAAATAAGAAAGAACATCTAAAATTCAATCATGTCCCATCATTAAATGTGTCTTCAGTGGAGGCATCTTCGTCTCCAATTATATCTATGAATGCCAAATCTTCATTATCTTTAATCTTACCCACTTTTCTCTTCCATGTTCAATAAGAATGATTAGTGTGCTGTTAATTGCATATACTTTAAATGTAATAGCACATAAAAAATTGTGAGATACAATTGTTTGCTTGTTGTGCTGCAGTACTAGTGGATGTGTGTGGTGTGGTACTATTGGATGTGCCCGTTTGATCTGTTTTGCCCCTTAAGACATCCACACTTAGATCCTCTAGTTGTAGGTTTGATAATGGCTAATCTGTCTCATCATCTATGAACCACTTGTTATCAGACGCCACATCATCACATACCAAAGGATCCTCATCATCGTTCAACCCCTTGTTCCTTAACCTCTTATATCTCAACCTCTTGTTGGGCATAATATAAACAAGAGAGTTCATTCTGAGTGTTGAAAGTCGATTTTTTTCACTTTGTTTGCACTTGATTATATGTGCTTCAGTTTTGCTCACACCCAGAGGAAGAACAAGTGAGACCCAAAACTCTAACTGCAAAACTCTGTAACTCAGGGGTGGAATAACCAAATTGGATCCACCATTCAACTATTTTCAAAAAGACAAACGATAATCAGAACATATTAAAGTTTTATGCATGTATGATTACTTTGCAACCTGTACACTGTACTTCCAAGAAGGGTCCCTCCGCAATGATGTATTTGACTTTTCTTTACCCATAACCATGTTTTGTAATGCACAAATGCAAAATCAAACAACAAATCTAAAAAAAATTTTAAACACTAGGTTTTCTATAAGTTGAAAAATCAAATATTGAATTAAAAAAAAACCTAGAATCGGTAGTAGTGGTGTCGTAGAGGGCGGCTGGACACGTGCTACTCACCGGCGGGAAGGTCGGCCGAGGAACGCTAGGGCAGGGTAGTGCGGGGCTTTGCAGCTTCGTGTGGTTTGGGTCGGCCGAGGGACGCTAGGGAGGAATGAATGGGGTATTTGATTAGGCACTTAAGTGAGTGGGGCCCGTTTGCTTGAGGCGTACGCCTCCCCTGTTATTGCGCAATTGCGCCTTTGAGGTGCGCCTCAGGTTCTATAAGGCGTACGCCTCTCCTGGTCCCAGAATTGCTTAAGTAATAAGGGTGCCTGGGGGTAGGGGTGTAAACGAGTCGAGTCGAGTCGAGTTTTGGTCCTTATCGAGCTCGGCTCGTTAGATAGATAGCGAGCTCGAACTCGAGCTCGAGCTCGAGTCGAGCTCGACAGTCGAGCTCGAACTCGAGCTCGTGTCACTGTTAACGAGCTCGAGCCGGCTCGCCAGCCATGGGCGGGAATTTTTAAATTTAGGCGGGATTTTTCAAAAATTTTAAAATTAGGCGGGATTTTTAAACTTTAAGCGGGATTTTTAAACTTTTAGCGAGATTTTTAAAACTTAAACAAAATTTTTATAAAAATATGAAATATTTCACTTTTAAATAAAATTTAGGTGATTATTATTATAATTTTTTAATATTTAAATTTAATAAATAAAA